CGCCCTGTTCCTAAATTGAATCAGAGTCTGTTTTACTAAGCGTTAAGTCTATCTTGCTTGTGAGCTTCCTCACCGCTACGTGTACGCTAGTGACGGTAGAAACATAGCCCGTTGCACCTGGTAGCACTTTGTAGTCCTTCTAACGACCAAGACCTAGATGCAGCACGGCTTGACTTCCGGGTCCACCGGAACAACTATGGGGCACGACAACTTCCTCCACCTTACCCGCGTTGAGTGGGAGGCTCTCCACCGCCTCGTGGCGGTGTCCGGACAACTTATCGTGGTGTCGCTGCTCAGCGCGGCGTCCCCCGAACAGCAACGGCAAGCCGCTCAAGAATGCATGGAACGAGAGCTCGCTGAAGCCGAGCAGCGTGGACAGACTCCCTCACGTTCCAGGAACGACGCCGTCAAGATGGAAACCTCGACGTACTCAGGCACCGGTTCAGACCGACTGCCGCTGAATCGGTGGTTTCGGGAAATAGACATCACCATCACCTTAAGATTGATCGAGGCGCCGTCGGAAAAGGTGAATTTCCTCCTCTCCCGGTTGTCCGGGAAAACCAAAGCGTGGGCCCTCGGCAATTTTGTCGTAGATGCGCAGGCGTTTCCCACTCTGGACACTCTCCAGAGTGACCTACGTCTGGCTGTCGAGCCCCCACAAGATGAATCCCGTGTCCGAGCCCAATTCTTCGCTCTCAAACAGGGTAAGATGTCGATGCGGGACTATGTTCAGAAGACGCGACACCTCGCTTCGTGCATCACCACGAGCCATCGACATGAGTTTTAGCTCTGTTAAGAGCGCTTATGAGTCTCGTTTTATTTGCGATACCAACTATCATATTTTCACTACATCCTAAGTACGATCGGCTGCTGCACCCACGCCATATTTACAAACAAATTAGTACGTAGGTACTCAATTTAATTTTACAGGCAGCTTGTTCAGAAATAAGGTTTTCTTACGGAAACGCAGTCGTACCCGTACTGTAACGGGGTTACACGCAAGTGACTACACAAAGCCACTTGGTTATGAAAGCGGTTTTCCACATTGGTGTGAGATACACCAATGGATTCATTTGGCAGACTGTTTGCCTGCATGCATTCAAGGCATTCATTGGTTGAAAGTCAGTAACTTCAACCAATTAGGATAATAGGATTATGTCAACCATTCGTTGATAAATACCTTTCATGTAGAATATTAGATTAGGAGACTAAACAAACAAATAAACTGTTTTTTATGTTTACCAGAAATTGGCTTTGCTTTCCTATTTAAATAAATCTATACTTTCAGACGAAAGTTTAGTCAATCTGAGTGAAACGCATCTTACGCTTTTTCTAGCGTGCAAGCCGAAGTACTGGGCTTAAAGTAGGCCCATTACACCTGGTAGTACTTTGTAGTCCGTCCAACGACCGACTAACTTAAGAGTTCGTATGGAATACGAGCACGTGGCGAAGAACCAACCAATGGACAGTAATCCGTCCATGTGTAGTCCAAATACTTCTGCCACGCATATTGTGTGTGATGACTGTCCCCATCTGGCGGATCCAGAGGCAGCCGTAGCGACAATGCTACGTACGCTGTCGCCGAGAGCGCAACACGGTGTTGCTCTGGGATTCATCGTGAGCGAGCAGCGCGATGCTGCTGCTACGAAAGTGTTGTCCGGGACGACACCGCCCGTGCAGTCGCTGAAATTGCACGTGAGCAATTATGTGGGGAAAGAGGGTGAGCCTCTTCTCCGATGGCTTGTCGAATTCGACACTGCCATAGCGGCTCGTCATATCACTGGTGAACCATCGAAGGCTGGGTTCGCCATGTCTTGCCTTGGCGGATGAGCGAGGAGCTGGGGGTAATGCCACCGGCTCACAGAGCATACGTGCTTTAGCACGTATGCGAAGTTCAAGGAGGGGCTCAGACAAGCGTCTGAGCTATCTCAGAATGCGGTCCGGTCGAGGGATGAGTTTCTCGACCTGCAGCAAGGTAAGCATGACATTCATGCTTACGCTCCATGTGCGCGGTACCTGATCTCGAACATCGTGACCAACTCGATCGACGAGGCGACAAAAGTTGTTACGTTCATGAAGAGCTTAAAAGATGGATCGGCTAAGACCTATCGCTTCCGAGAGCATCCAAGTACTCTGGAAGTGCGATTGCTCTATCGACGCATGAGGAGTTTTTCTTGAAGCAGGCTAAGCTGCACACGAACGTGCCGAGGATGGCCTGTCCAATGATAAGTGCGGGAGATCTAGAGCCTATGAACCTCTCGAACGCTTCCGCTGTTAGACACCAACAGCGTATTGGGGACAAGTGCGGTGTTACCGATGTGGGTACACCGGACACTTTGCGCGTGAGTGCACAGCGCCTGTGCACTCGGCCAGGGGCCAACGTGGCGATGCCGGGTGTCGCCGTGTGTAATAAGAAAACATGCAGAGCCAATAGGCGCGTACTTGTATTGCAGTCGCGTGAGTCTATAACGGAGACGCGACACTGAGGTCTGAAGCCCCCGGCGAGAGGACCTCTCGCTGCAAGAAGCAAGATGGCAATCCAAATCTTGTTATCCTGAAAGTGACGTCGAAGAGAGCAGGCTCTCTTCGTGCTTTGGTTGACTCAGGTGCGTCAAACAACTTTGCTCGACTGGTAAGTCTCCCGAAGCTAATCTTCGAATAAGTTAAAGCACCTCGGAGTGTTTGGGAGGTGCGGTAGGCAACAGTTGCCACCGTTAGAACGGATAAATTCGTAGAGCGCACGCACTTCTCGTACAAGCACCGGGTGTTTGTGGAAGATCTCATTGTCCTGGAACTGGACGATAAATTTGACTTGGTATTGGGCATGCCGTGGCTTGCACGATGATCCAGTGCTCAACTGGGAGAACTGTGTACTTGCACACCTCGGACGCAACGCGACATAGGGCGATGGCCCTGTCAGTGTCGCGCATGCACCATGAAGTGCATCCGATCCCACCGTTGAGGCAGCACCTTATGATGCGGCCTCCGGTGCCCATTCACAAGTCGCAACAACTGAGGCAATCGTTGGGTCTGTAGATCCGATTTGAGACACGCTCATACTTCAATGACCGTAACAATTCGGCGAGGATATCGATCAAGTATGAAAGAACTTCAAGTCACAGGCAATTGCTGTGTCGGTGGTGCGTCGGTCCCGGGGACCGACACATCAGAAATGCAAGGGACTCCAGCTAGAGCAGTAGCTGCGATATCGGCGTGTCAGCTCCGGGCGTTGACACAGTCGTGATTGGCTCAAAAAATCCAATGGGCTCCGCCGAAAGGTGTCGAGGTAACAAGGACGTATCGACTCCGGGTATCGACACAAACTCGATATCAGCATCGAGAGGTGACTTCGCTGAAAGGAGTCGAGATGATAACAGCGCGAGAATTCAATTTTTAAGGTTTGATAAGAAGATCTTACAAGGACCTAAAAACTGTTTAAAAGCCCCAGATTTTTGTGTTGAAGGCTATCAGACCCGGGCAGGAATGCCGAGCGGGTCCAACCAGCGACGTAAAGACCCTAGACATGAGGTCTTCATTTAACGGGCTTCTCAAGATGCTCCAAACGTTTGTGCTTTGTCCGAAAATCATATCGAGGTTCTGCCATGGTCACCTTCTAGCTGCGGAAAGAAGCAGCAAATGCACACGAAAGTGCAGCCGTACGTCTCTCGCGAGTTTGCGTCGGAGCCAGCTTACCGTGCGCCAACTAATAATAAAGAGATGATAACTAATGAGGCCAAACGATCTTGGAGAAAGACCGCTGCTCAGAAGAAAAAGGATACGCTAGATGCGTCGGAGGCGAAGGGCGTTGCGCCAGAGCTTGTATGTGCGGAGCCGAGACCAAATTGTGTGTGTAACAGCCCTGATTTCGCTGATGGTAGTACAGCTGAATCTAAGCCCGATAAATCACTTCCCAAGCGTGTGAGGAAGGACATATAAGAATTGAGGTAGCCGTAATGTTGTCAGCTAATCGATATAATTCTTCTGTCCTTTAGCTCTAAAATCCCAAAAAATATACATACCCCTGTAGACTTGAAGAGTAAACAATTAAGATAAAACGACGAATGAGACCAACTTAGATTATGGGAATAGTTTCAATTGATCCAAACTATCCCAAGAACACACACAAAAAGTTAGAAAGTCAACTTTGTGGCAGATATTTTTTCTCTCTTACGGACGCTCCTCAGCCTGTAGACAGCTTTTGAAGGGTCTTAAAGCACCAGCATAAGACGAAACGCTATTCTTTACAATTGTGGGCTTAAAGCGATTTGTACTTAGGTTCGTTAGCTTTTTTTTCGTTTGACGCTGTTCCATGATTTTATCATAGACGTTTAGCTCCTACCCTTACATCATTTGTATAGAATTATTATTGTGCTTTGTTGGCGAAACGAGATCAAATTTGCTGATTTTATAAGTGATTTCATAAAACCGTGATCAACGACGTTTACAGAAAAGCGGCCAGAATTGAACTTTTGAAACAAATGCTGCATTTCGCTCACCAACATTTTGCTAAATATTAGAAATTAACTCTCTTTTTTCACATATGATGTCATTTTTTGCTCCTAAAACTGTCGGCAACTCCCTGCAAAGCACAATAATAAAGCTCACTCCTTTTCCGTCGCCGGCAAGATGCACTTGAGCGATTTGTGTTTGCGTATTTGGGTTTCTACACGTATTTTTAATAAAACAGTACTATCAATACACGTATCGAATACAGCACGAAGCAATCGCAGCTTTGAAGCACAGCAAAACTCGGATGACTTCATCGAACTAACTCCACCAGACTATTAAATCATCAAACAGCCAGCAACGGAATGCGCCGCTTGCAGTATTTTGATCAGAAATTGATTTGAGTGAGCAACAGGTGCCCCAGAAACACTTGCCAGATCGGGAAGCCAAGCTCGATGGACTGGGATAGGCCAGTTTTGGGTGTCAATTCAATAACTGGGTACCATTCTTCCTTTTCTACCGGTAACGACTCGTAAACTTTACTAACGAGAAGCATGCGCTTCCCTTTGCCTGCAGACACATTCCCACCGCTTCTTGTGTCAGAGGAGGATCGAATTGACCTGCAGAGATTGTCTGAGAGCTTTATTCACGAAGCAATCGAGGATTACTCCGATTTCCGCAGTATTGGCAGAGGAAGTTTGGACAAAGAACGCTGGAACGGGGAGACGTGACGTCGTATCGAGATCTGCGTATGATCGACTTGGAGAGGTTGCGTTCCGCTCCGAAAGAGCGGGTCGGTTCGGGGTATATCACTGCTTCCACTAAGCTTCACGGGGTATTAACGACCGGTACAATCGATGGAGAGTTCAACGACATGGCGTTTGGTCTTATTAACGGGAATACCGAGATGTTAAAGATCAAGTCTTCGTATACTAACGACAAGATTGCCGATGCGAAAGTTTTAGCTGCTATAACGGAGCCTACTCCTACAGAACCCGTACAAGGAACATACCTCAAATGGGGGGTATCCATTGGAGTTCCCGTTCTACTTCGAAAGATCGTTCGACCGCAAGATTTCGTGTACTTGGAGTCGATCGGCATCCTCAAAACCACGTCAGGAGAACGTCTCGGCTATAGTTTAATGCACTCGCTTCAAATTCCGACCATCCGCGAGCTCACAGAGTACCAAATTGTACGCGCAAATGCGTCGATCTGCGTCTTGTTTCGACAAAAAACCTCGGGCAAGATCGAACTGTACGTCAAGGGATTCGTGGATGCCATGGGCGATATCCACCAGTCTGTAGCTGTACCGGCAACAGCAGATGCACTCATGTCGTACAGTAAAATCGTGCATTGTGGACAGATGAAGAAGCTTAACTGGCTGGTAAAAACGAGAAAGACAGTCATTCTAGATCACGGGAATGACTGTATCGTCTGCACCAATGCTCCAAGTCGTCCGAAATCCTGTTCGAACACCATGTGCTCACGTTGTAGCGTTAGCAAGAAGCTCAGCTTCCTCTCTCCTTCAACACGTCGAGTCTTTCGACGCAGCTTAATGTTCTGCGTACGATGTTTACTAACAGCGTTTAAAGCTGATGCGCTCGAGATCGCAGCCGAAGAATTAGTGCGTCACAACCCGTTTGACTTCTATGAGGCGTCTACCAACTCCACTCCCTCATCTAAAATGGTCTCTCCCTCAAGTACTACCGCTCCAGACGCCACTAGTGAGTTTTTCGGATAAAAATAAACTAAACCGTTACCTTATTTTGCATGGAGGTCAAGAACTCCCGTGGCTAGCTGAAGCCACGGAGAAAAACAATCCAGTCTTCTTTGAGTTACAGACTCATACTACGAACAATGCTCTCGCAGACGCTGGCGTTCGGCTTGTCGTCATGAACTCGTGATGCGCGGAGTACTGCTCGACATCATTTACTCTCGAGACTCGTACTTCGCTACGTTGCGGGAATACACGGAGGAAATTGCGCTTGAAGACACATTCGGTAAAAATGATTTTTTTTAATTTCTAAAGTGATTTTCGGATTAACAAAGATTGATATTGTAGTTGCCAATGCGGAGCCTTGCTACTTAGTGCGTCGCTACATGTGTATTTCTATTGATATTTGATATTTAACGTACCTACATTGACGAGGATCACGAGCAATTGTTGTTGTGGTATCCACTTCCCGCGGATACGCCATCTACATGTATGCCACTTCAATGAAATCAAGCAGTAATGGAGGGAATTCCCGCGTTTAAGTAGCGAACGACACGCAACTATATTGTCTGATTACAAGACACCATCAATTTACCAAGAAGAAGAACTCTCCTAGTCGAGGGAACGGAGTAAAGCAAAACGAGGGAGACGAGTCTAGGGATATCGTAGACGATGCAGTTGTGTTCGAGTTCAACCAGTTCGTCTATCACGGGAGTGCTCAACTTCCCACTACGATGTTGAAGGACTCTGTTAGTCGTGGGTTCCTGATCTTACGTGCACAACCAACTGAAGTCGCATTCGGTGACGTGTATGACGAAATTCTGGCTCCTGGGGGAGAGCACGAAGCTGAATTTTCTCGCACAAAGCTCTTAAGTCCTTTTGCTAGTGTTCATCAACGATTTCAAGAAGAAATTGGCTTCGTACTTCTGGATCTGCTTATTGGGGCAGAAATGGGTACAGAACTTGATGAGGGAAGTTCCCACTACTAGTGGAGGGAGCGAACTTATTGCAACGCATTTGACTCGCTGGCTCAAAATCGAAGACGGCTCGGAGGCGTTCTTCGAGCTCGAGCTGGCTCGTGGCTCGCTCTGCCCATTCGCTCAAGTTGTGGGCGAAGGTCAAGCACTGGACTTGATGGTCTGGAAGGGAATGATGCGTTGCTGGGCGTTATATACCGTCGCGGCAGTTTTTTTATGACTCTGAAACTAGTTTTAGAATCTTCAGATCTGGACGATGATGGTCCAGACCAACTCTTTGCTGGCGTTCCAACGAGGCTCAAATTCAAGCCAGTGAGAGCAAAACGCCGAGGACGACGCAAAAAGTGACTTCAAAGCGTCAACTAAAGCTCAAGCTAAGTCAATTTCTGTCCGTCCTGCAGAGTTTTCAGATGATAAAGCAGCTTCTATTGCAGTGCCTAAAGCAAACAAAGTGGCCAGACCTCGTCATGTGTCTCGACTATCAAGTAGCGAGGCTCTTCTAGCCTTGCAAGCCAAAGCTCGCGCCTCAGCGCAACATGTGCCTTGGAATTTACATACAGGTCGCCCACTCTAGAATCGTTCTAGAAAAATCTAGACGTTTTATATTTCCATTCTAAAAATCCATGAATTTTATGGATCTTCTAAATCTGTGATTGTTGGACTGTACTCCACGACTAAGTAGCACAATCGTGTTCTTATCTGAAGCCACATGTTCTCCATTCCCAAAGCGGCTACAGTTTTCTTAAGTTCAGCCAGTTTATCACATGCGTGATAGTATCGCGCTGTAACTTTCTGCAACGCTCTCGCGTCCTCAAGAGAGCATTCTTGTCCAACACGTAAGCTCTCGTCATGTCTTCGTACACTACTCGCTTAACGTCAGCGTCGAACGTTGAACATCGGTGAGATTACTCTCTGCTTTTGTAGCATTGTCCTTTTTGCTTCTTAACGCAGCTGTGAGTCGCGCATTTTCTGCTGTACTAGCAGCCAGCAGCGCCTGCGTCTCTGCTAATCGTTTCTTTAGCACAAGAGAACGAGCTTTCGCTTCTGCACTATACGCACTGAGTTGTTGAAGACAGTGAGTCTCCAGACTTTGTAGTCGAGTCTGCAGTCCCGGGATCATCAAATTTCGAGTATGAAGATCTTCGACTGCACGTTCATATTCATCTCGAATTTGCATAAGGACAGGTGCGTACACACTGAGGCCGTCGATGAGACGATTGAGAGCTTCTCTTACGATTTGTAGCCGTCGTAAACTGGGCTTTCTCGACTCTCGCTCTCCATCCAGCTCTGTGTGAAGATAGTCGAGGAGTTCTTGTAGTAATGCCGGTCGTGTTCGACTATCGTCTAGTAGACGTGTACGGGTGTGAAGCTTTTGTACTTTAGGAGATATTGGAGAGAACGCATCGTGATCAATAAAGTCGGTTGGGATACGTCTCGGACTTTCAGGTGCGAAGGTTAAGGGCCAGGAAGAGACTTGGATGGGTCGTGATTTATCGTGTTTTCTCGGAGATGGGGAGATGTCACTGGTGGTTTGTAAAGGGGGTAAGGACGAGGTGGTAGTTGCAGAGCCTTTCGCTTCTGTTGGTCGTCGAGGTGGCGGACTGGCAAGACCGACGGAGACGAAATCCATGTCGAAAACTGGTCGAGGACTTGAAGCGAGTTATGAATAGTCTGTAGACAAACCGCTTCTAAGTTTGTCTTGCCGAAAGTTGCTCTTATTAAGACAACGAGATGGGGAACGCACTGACCGTCGACGTGGTCGGCCCGATCGTGAGCGACGATCCTCTGCTAAATGTACACGTGGCAAATTATGTGATGAATGACGTGATCTGAATCTTATGAATATCATGTTTTTGTTAGGAATATAAAGCAGGTTAGAGCGAGTGTGAGGGCGAGACTTACAAGGTTTAACTGTCTTCTTTTTCTCTAGCAACATTAGATGATTTTCGTGATGCGAAGGAGAACTTTGAAACCTTGCAAGGAACTTTAGGAGACAAGATGACTGTCAATCCAGAAGAGTTTAATGACATCTTCTCACTCATCTGTCAAGATTCACTCGAACATTTTGCACTTTTCGACTCGTGGGAAGTCGACAAGGCAAGTCAACTACTTTTTTCTTATCAAGAACTTTAAATCTTATAATTTTTCTTATTTAAAATCAGGTGGATGTGACGGAAGTGTTTGCTGTGATCATCGTGTACTGTAACGCGACGATGGAGGGGAAAGTCCCATTCCTATTTGATCTCTTCGATTTCGACCACTCCAAGATGATATCACAGGATGAATTGGTTCTACTGATGCTTTGCACGACTAGAGGGCTCTGTAAAGTGGTTGGTAAGCCCAGACCAGCCACAGACAGTCTTGAAGCCTTGCTACTGACGCTTTCTCGCGCATTGATCGGGATCAGAATGGGAAAATTTCACTTGACGAACTTACTGAGTGGATAGTACACGAGCGAACAGTGGTGACTTATCTTGCGAAATTCGCGAATACTCGAGTAATTTACGAGAACCAAGTGCAGTATGACTTGATGCTGAAGGAACTATCTACCGCATTCCTGAATTTTGCCGAACCAGAAAAAGATAAACTGAAATTCCAGTGCTCCGAAGATGTCTGTGAGGAACTAATCCAGCGCTACTGCCCCGCAGCTGGGAAATACGAGATCGATTTCTTACTGCAGAAAATGAACAAAAGTATGAAAAATACGCGGTCACTCGTAAAATACGGAGAAAGCAACGTTTCAGACAATGCGATCTCCATGGACGCGTTCTTTTTCGTTCTTTCACCATTTATCGCGTTCCTTGCTGCTGACGATGACGGAGAGCACTCGATCAATATCAAAGAGCTAAAAATATTGCTCTGGCTTATGTTTGGATCGGAACCGAGCTCAAAAATGGTCGAGAATTTCAAGAACGCGTTGGATAGCAACCACGATGACTCTCTTAACGCGATGGAGTGGGTCTCGTATGCTCTTGAGACCAATGAACAGACCGGAAGCCAGTCAATCGTCAACCAGATCCATCTTCTCTTCGCGACGTCGGACGTCAACGGAGACGCCATTTTGACTCTACCAGAACTTCAACGTGGTCTGATTTCTATTTTCACAGACCATTTAGAACCTGTAAACACGCCGTCTAAACCAGTCAAAAGTGTGGAAACGCGCAGTTTTCTACCATTTCAAGTCTTGCCACCGATCTGGTCAAGGAAATCATGGGGGAACTCGATGCAAATGACACGCGGCGTATCGAATGGTACGAGTTCCGACAACATCTCGAGTACCTTGACCGCCGCGTGATGGAGATCAAGACTTACATCGAAACACACGTTTCAGGCTAAATACATACGCTCTATAAATGGAACAGACAAAAGATTAAAAATAAACTGAGGTAAAGCACCTGGAATCTGATATAAATTGTTGCAATTTAAATACCTATCAGTGATAGCTATTTTGCATGTGACATGTACCTCCCGATTATATAGGCAGCCAGTCAGATTCCACATTGGGGGTAGTTTGGAGGACGATCGAAGACCCGGACACTCCGTGAACGGCCAGCGACAAACAAGCAGCACAAGCTGAGAAAAAGCGTCAAGAAACGCACACAGCAAACAGCTCCGTCGTCTTCCAACAGACAAGGGCGAACCTTTGTTGCAAGCGTCGTGACTGCATCCAGCACTCAAAAAAAAAATGAGGCCGAACACAGTCGAACGGCAACCCTTTGGAAGATCTCAGCACCGTCACCATGTGCAGCCCCTCGCAGCAATTCCTCTGCACCTCCAGCACCATTTGCACTGAGTTTGCACTCGCCATTCGCCACTCCATTGCGCTCCCCGATATTTGGCAAATACTTGGTGGAAACTTGCAATAAAGTCGAGGAACAAACTCCAAAAGACGCCACAGCAGCACGTGACACACCCGAGCCACAGCCAACCGACATGGAGCCAAGCAGAGAGCAGGATAACAGCACTGTGTATCAATCACCAGACACACTCCAAACAGCAAAACGAGGTAACAAGAGACACTTGGAACAATAGTAAACCAATGTGTAAGCATTGTCTACAACGGAGCAGAGAGCACGTAATATACACATCCATCGAGTCCTACACACACCACTGCAACCCCATCATTTCTTTCTCCTTTTGTCACTTAAATCCTCGTTCTGACCCGAGTGTGAGGAGAAGAAAGAGGTCAACAAACAACATGCAACACACTCGGACAAGGTTTTACCCCCTTATTCAAGCTCCAAACTAATCGAAGAGAGCACCTACAATAAATAGGGCTCCCCTCACTCTTCTTGTCTAGGGTTACAGGCAGCCCATCAGACCACCTAATATCGGTCGCAGTGCGCGCAAAGCCCAAATCACATGTAAAGTGCTGCTCCACTCAATGTAAAACAACACAAACACACCGGTACACTTTGTTCCAGATTTCCACCACCCATCGCTTTGTGACAAGGAGACTCCAATCCCCCTCTCCACTCCATACCGGCAGCCACAAGGCCCAGACGATGCATACACACCACCCTGACGACCCTAAAGCAAGTCCATGAGTCTTGAAGTCTCCACACGCACGCTGTCCCTCGCTATAAAGTCTCCATCATCGGCTGCCATGTACAGATCTGCATATGTAGTGTCAATTTTTTTTTCTTAACCGATTCTCAGAATAGAAACCTGATAAATCGGATTGAATGCAGCCACTCAGTAGTTTATTTGTCAAGAAGTGGATTCTACAAAAATTAAATTACACTGGACTACTGGTTCTGCAATCTGTATTTTGCCATTGCAGTTTTGTTTCTTTCTCTCGTAGCCAAACAATCATGACGCTAAGCACGAAGCTCGAGTCTAGATGTAGGTGCATCGGTGGGTGGTCTTTCTTTCATCTTGCTCAAATGTAGCCATTTTGAAGCGTCGTCGGCTGAATCCTACTACGTAGTACTGGAGACGATGACCGAGCCAGCAGTGTTTCCTGCCTTGGCAAGAGCAAAGAAGCTCTTTCTACTCCGGAAACAATCCACCAACCGTCACGAACGGAAAGCCCCAGTGTATCATCAAGCTCAAGGTGATTCGAGCTTCAGCAACCCAAAGGAAAGACGAGATCGCCCACAAGAACCACACCGTGGTGCAGGACCGCGTCGATACACTTCTGCACTCGCTGAGTTCTGCTCGGAATTTGATGAGCATTTACGGCTCATTGACAACGACTTGTCGCTACTGAATACGTCGGTAAGACGGGAGTTCCAACGCGAATCTCTAGCTCTCGAGAAGCTAACCTCGGCGCTGCTGGATTCGAAAGTGAGCGTTAATGAAGTACCTTACGTAAACCAGGGAGAGGTACGGGTTGGTCGTGCTCGACTACGCGTTAGGAGGCCGCGCATCAAACTTCGAATCGTCCTCCAGTCTACACCTAAAACCTCCTCTGTAAAGAGCCCACAGCCGAGTCCTAATGCACTTAGTCGAACTGCTATACTAGCACATCAAGCGATGAAGGCGTGTGTTCTTCAGTCATACGCTCGGTTTTACCTTTATCACTGCTTGTACTGTGGGGGTCCCAGCCAGCTCGTTGCTGCCAGACAACTAGCCACTCGATGTCGTCGAGCACACGCATTTCGTCACTGGAGACGAATTGTAACTCAGCGTAACAAACTGCGACTTCGCTGTCTTCGAGCTCAACAACGTATCGACCGCTGTGCTGCCTCTTGGGCTCATTCCAGAGCTATCCAAATCGTCGATACAGAAGGTAAATACGCCATGGCCAAGAAGTTTCACCAGCTCAAACTTCTTGCAAGCAGCTACCACTCGTGGTTGGGCTGGTATCAAACGTTGATTTTTCCAATACTGGCAAACGCGATGCATCTCAATAAATTATATCTCAAAATTGTGTTCCAGTCATTGCACTTCATTGAATTATTATTATCTCTCAGGTATTAATTAATCTCATTTTGGCGAATTTAAATGTACTACGATAGCTTCCCCATTTCAACATCACCGGATAACGGATACCGTGGACGCCATGGCGACGGTATCGGGCCAGACGACGCGAGCGCGCTCCATCGTGACAATAGATGGGTACGTGAGTCGCGGAAGGGCTCCACCCGATTCTGTGCCTCGAGATCACGCTATGCTGCAAGATTTCGCTGCGTATTTGGAGCAGCGCCTCAAGTGTGTGAACATGTTGATGCTGCGTCGCACCTTTGCTGATTTCCTTAACGAACACGAGAACACGTTGGCCCCCATGATGCAACACGGCTGTACCATCATCACCATGTACCCGGTGCTGAGCACCAGCGCCCAGAGACGTCGCGAAGCGGCACTTCTCCTTGCCAAACCAAAGCATCATCTGGACACTCGTGGGTGCGTCTTCCTGTATCTACAACAGCGCGCAGCCACACGGAACATGGCGCTACTTAAGAATTTATTTCTTGAGTTCGTGTACAAACGGGAGACGTCGCTAATGGCGTTCGTGGAGAGAGGGTGCCAAGTGATCAGTGTCATCCCCTTTGAACTGCCGCAGATGACGAAGCTGCCACCGCCTCCAGCAACTCAAGAATTTCCTTGCGTCGTGGAAAATGCAACAGAGCAATTGCAAATTGCGTCGGAGTCTGTGGCGAAAAAAATAACAAAGAAACGGAAGCGCAAGACTGTGCCAAAGCCGTCGACAGCAGTAGCTTCGACGCCCGCCGTTGCTGATGAAGTAGCTCCCTTGATCACGCGGAAGAAGACGAAAGGGAAACAGAAAGAAGCTGGGAGTCGGGTGCAGCAGACACCATCCGGCACTCGTGCTGAAGCGGAGGTTACGACCAAGCGTAGACGCACAACCAGCAAGAATGCTAGTGCGGCACCTGTCTCTAGTCCTGTTGAATCGGCCCCAAAGCGCGCTAGACAGACAAAGGAAACTACGAAGTCACTGCAGCAAACCGCCTCTGTTGCTGCAACGGAACGTGACTCTGTTGAACCAGAAACCTCTGCACCTGCTACCGTTTCGAAGCCAAAGCGCGGCAAGAAGATCAGGACTAGAACTACGTCGTCGAAGGATGCTACGTCTACAGCTGTACCGGAATCGGTCGGATCGGATGTGACAAAAGTTTCCAAGACTCCAAAGCGTGGAAAAAAGTCGAAAGCAACACAAGATGCAGTTTCTGAAGCCACAACGGAAGTTGTCAATCCTGCCGTGCCTCATACTCTACCACCCGCAACCAAGAGCTGCAGGAAGTCAAAGACTAGCAAAGTGTCCATGCAGGCTGTTGTCTCTGCAGTCGTATCGGATTCGGTTCAACCTGCTGCGACGGAGACTTCTACGCCGACTCCGAAGCGCGGGAGGAAGTCAAAGACCTGCACTTTATCGCTGCAAGATGAGGTCTCTGTAGCTACAGATACTACGGCACCGGCTAAGCCCAAGCGCGACAGGAAGGCTAAACCCAACGCATCGCAGCTACAGGAGGCAGTCTCTGTACCACAACTGGTGGAATCTGTCGTGAAAGACGCTTTAACGACCGATGCTAAGTCACCCTCGAAGCATGTGAGAATGACAAGGGCCAGTACAGCCGTGCAACAGGATGCAGCTAACGTGGAATCTACCATGACGGAAGCTTCCCCGACCCCAAAGAGAGTGAGAAAGCCAAAGACTACTAAGACGTCACTACAAGATGCAGAGTCGGTAGCTGCAGCGCCACCTGCGGAGTCTGCTACGATGGAGGTTACAAAGGCTACCCGAAAGTGTGGCCGACCATCCAAGATAAGTATTGTGTCAGCCCAGGATACAACACCTGCAGCCGTACCAGAACTGGTCGAGCCTGTCGTTACAAAGCTTGCGAAGTGCACTCCGAAGCGCGTGAGAAAGCCAAGGACTGGCACTACGTCGCCACGAAAAGATGCTACCTCTGTGGCTGCAACGACAGTGGTGGAGTCTGTCGCGACAAAAGATGGTGCACTTAAATCGCCTCCAAAGCGTCGAGATAAGTCAAAGGTCTCAAAGGTGTCCGCCTCAAAGACAAACATTGCAAAAGCAGCTCAGAAACGTGGCCGAAAACCGAAATCTATCGCTGCGTCACTACAAGACACAGCCGCTGCCACAACGGAAATGGGAGATGCAGTTTCAGTATCTGCAACCGAACCAATCGAGCTTCAAATTACAACTTCAGTCACCGCCGTAGCCACGCCGGAAATGGTGAGCGCTGTGGTGACAGACGCTCAACCCGCTGCTATATCGACTCCAAAGCGTGGTAAGGAGTCAAAGACGCAGACTGCAGTCGCTATAACCACGTCGGACACTGTAAAGTCTACTGTGAAACGGGGTAGAAC